CTGAATACTCTCCAAAAAACAATCTGAACTGCTCAATCAATTCAATCATTTTATGTCAGTCACACTTTAGTTTGAGGACCAATTCTGACTATTAACTAGCTATTAACTAGGGGTGCAACAGTTACAATTGATAAAAAATTGAACAGTACCGTTCTCCACACACGATTCGGCATGCACTAGGACCGCGGTTCAACTTAAATCTGACAATGCATCTGTAATATGGTTTGTTAGAGTTCGGCTAATGCATGTTTCTGTTGATGGATACAAATTCTGGCTTCCCAATACATTACAACAAGAGCGATGAAAAAAAAAAAAACTATATGTGGACAAACCAGTCACTCTTTGTTCAATGCGAGTGCTGTTGGAATAACTGTAATGTATGCCGTCATCACACGTTGATAACACAGGTGAGACCTGAACAGCACACATTGCTATCTGTGTTTAAACTAAACTCATTTAAGCTTGGCCTGTTTAAATATTAAAGAGCCAGAAGACGCAAACTCACACGCAGTGAGAAGATCTGTGTGTGCACTCATCCGAAGCGCGTGAACCTGAGTCTCAGAACGCACGCAAATATTAAGCTCTCTGTGAAGTATTGTGTTTGAATGGACAAATTCACACAAAAATTATGTCAAAATGCCCATCTTGGTGAGCATCCTAGCAGATATAGTCGGCTGAACGTACTGTATCAGTGCGTTCTCTTAAAGTGACAGCACTTTCTTAATGTTAATCAAACAGCAACAACACGGAAATCACTCACTGCTCTTGACTGAATAACTTTTGTAACTTTAATAAGGATTAATCTTTACTTTATACAGTCACGCTGAGCTGCAGAGGCGTCCCGCTGTGTGCCAGGCATCAGTCAAACTCTCACGCTTTGTTGTGGCACTGCAGAGATAAAAGACGCCTCTCCAATGCAGTGTGCTGTTGCTGCTGTTGGTATGTTGTAAGAGAGAGTGTTTGGATCAAAGTTGAGTTGAACAGTGACCCGAGGAGGCGTCTTTCTGTTTAATCAAGGATGTCCTGTTCACAAGCATCAGTACGGCCTTTAAAGATGCCTAATTACATGATATGTGAGAGATTATGAAGGCTCTGGTTCCACAGATAATAAGATAACTCGGTTAGTTCCAGTACTGGATTCTGATTGGTCAACAGCTGTGTTTTATTCACATTAAAGCACAGCTATGACCGCTTGACCCAACAGTTCTTTGTATCAAAGTGAAAGTTAGTCATTTTTATCCTGTTCATTTTCTTGGTCAATGGCGTTTGTTGTTTTGTTGTTGTAGGCTGTATGACTCTTTCAAATGACTCAAAAGTTGTGGTGATGTAATGCGGTCAAGAGCCAGCCATCAAGCCATCAACACCACCGCAAAACCAAAAATCCCCACAACGAACAAAAGAACAGCAGTTCCCATAGGAAAGAATAACCCACAAATAAGATCTCTTTAATATCTTGATCATTTCACCAGACGGAGCAAACAATGTCCAAATGAACAAATGGAGAATCTCAGACGTTTCCCCAATAATCTGCGAACATCTGCAATCAAAGGTCAGAGATCTGAATACTCTCCAAAAAACAATCTGAACTGCTCAATCAATTCAATCATTTTATGTCAGTCACACTTTAGTTTGAGGACCAATTCTGACTATTAACTAGCTATTAACTAGGGGTGCAACAGTTACAATTGATAAAAAATTGAACAGTACCGTTCTCCACACACGATTCGGCATGCACTAGGACCGCGGTTCAACTTAAATCTGACAATGCATCTGTAATATGGTTTGTTAGAGTTCGGCTAATGCATGTTTCTGTTGATGGATACAAATTCTGGCTTCCCAATACATTACAACAAGAGCGATGAGAAAAAAAAAAACTATATGTGGACAAACCAGTCACTCTTTGTTCAATGCGAGTGCTGTTGGAATAACTGTAATGTATGCCGTCATCACACGTTGATAACACAGGTGAGACCTGAACAGCACACATTGCTATCTGTGTTTAAACTAAACTAATTTAAGCTTGGCCTGTTTAAATATTAAAGAGCCAGAAGACGCAAACTCACACGCAGTGAGAAGATCTGTGTGTGCACTCATCCGAAGCGCGTGAACCTGAGTCTCAGAACGCACGCAAATATTAAGCTCTCTGTGAAGTATTGTGTTTGAATGGACAAATTCACACAAAAATTATGTCAAAATGCCCATCTTGGTGAGCATCCTAGCAGATATAGTCGGCTGAACGTACTGTATCAGTGCGTTCTCTTAAAGTGACAGCACTTTCTCAATGTTAATCAAACAGCAACAACACGGAAATCACTCACTGCTCTTGACTGAATAACTTTTGTAACTTTAATAAGGATTAATCTTTACTTTATACAGTCAACCGCTGGGTCAAAACAGCCTAATTGCTGGGTTTGTCCCTATTTTACCCAGCACTGGGTTGTATTTAACCCAGAATTTTTAGAGTGTATTTTACATTTGATTACTTTATTCAATTTCTGTACCTAAAAACTAATGTTAGACCTACCTAAAAAACCTGAAAAGCACTGTTTATTTTATTTGTATCTTTGCTCTATTGTATTTATTTGTGCTGTTGCTTGTAGTTAGATTGTGTTCTTATTTTCTTTATTTTTATTTGACAATATAGTTTTTTCCCCTAAACATGGCTCATACCAAACCGTACTGAAACCGTGACTCCAAAAACCATGATACAAACTGAACCGTAAGTTGAACCATTGCACCCCTACTATTAACTATGATTTTTTGCCTCAATAAACTCATAATTTGCTGTTTATTAACAGTAAGGTAGTTGTTAGTTTAGGTATGGGGTGGATTAAGGGATCTAAAATATGATCATGCAGAATAAGACATTAATATGTGCTTTATAAGTACTATTAAACAGCCAATATGCTAGTAATATGCATGCAAATATGCAACTAGTTAATAGTGAGAATTGATCCCTAAACTAAAGTGTTACCTGCATCTGAAGACTTCAAAATTGAATGAAATACACAAATAAAAGTATAAAAACCTAAATCTACTGAGGTGTAACTGAGCGCTCTCTTAATCTCCTGAGCTGTGAGCTATAAACGTAAAAACTGAATTTAACCTTCAGGATTTAAAAATCACCATAAATCCAAGTCCTGACACATGGCATGATGTGTATGTATAAATTATTGCACAAACATACAAGTAAGACTCCTTCCCTTCAGTTTACACATGCTGGAATACATAAGCGAGTCCACCGTGACATTCAGCGTGGCGTTCCTTGCGAACTCCCTCTCTGTAAACTGGATTAAAGGTGCAGTTCGTTGACGCTATTCTTTCCCTTTTTGATATGAAATACTTTACAGCTCAAACGGCTGGATCTCTTCAGACCGCACGCCTAAGCTGTGCACAAAGGCACTGCGCTTTATTATTATTTATGAGGTGGAACATTGTCAAGTGCTTCTTGTGCTTTAGAATGACCTTCATTTAGTTCGAGGCCATAAACCTTGACCGTCTTATCACGAGGCAGACTCCCTACACGACACCACTACACACCACAAACTGTAGCTTATGGACACAACTCACATCTTATGTGCTGTCTAGAGATGAGCACCTGACATAAATATGGTTTGTGATGTTATATCGGCTAAACACAGCAGTGCTGAGTTTATATGGTGAATCATTATGAACATGGCACAATGTTCTGATTGTCTTGATTTCCAGCACAGACATCCAGAAAATGAGACTTGGGTATGATCAATAAAAATTTTTAATTGCATTATCATTTACTCTCCCTCAAACCTGTATGAGTTTGTTTCTGCTGTTGAACACAAAAGAAGATATTTTGCAGAATGTTGGTAACCAAACAGCTTACGGTAGCCATTGACTTCCACAGTATTTTCTTTTTTCATACTGTGGAAGTCAATGGCTACCGTCAGCTGTTTGGTTACCAACATTCTGCAAAATATCTTCTTTTGTGAAAAAGGAAATTCAAACAGGTTTGGAACATCTTGAGGGTGATCAAATAATGACATAATTCTCATTTTTGGTTAAAACTATCCCTTTAACCTACTGACAGGACTTTTTTTTTTTAAGACACTCAGTGGTTGTTTTTAATTTATTTAAACACTTGTGTCGAAATTATGTATCATTCGTATCTGTCCAATATCGCTCTAAGCACTGATGCTGATATAGAGCAATATCACACAGTTATATATACACAAGTTATTTGTCTGTTAACCAATATGCAGAACTGATATTTATTTATTTTACTTCTGTTTTTGACGTAATTATAGCAAAAACACTGAACTGAACAAACGACACTTTTATCAATACTGTAATTTCACTTTCATCTGTAATTTCAGTCATCTTAAAAAATGTTACGTTTAATCTTCATATTACAAAAAAAAAAAATGCTGCATCTTTTTATTTATTACAACAACAGCAGCAACACTAATATTAACAGTAGGCCAAATAAATGAACATAGTCTAATGTTTTCGAATGAAAAACACAAATAAATGACAGGGGCATCTATAAATGCCATTTATCAGTGAATTCAATATTACAAAAACCTGTATCCAATTATGGAGACGTGAGTATTAGTAAAATATCAGTAAAACTGATTATCGGTTCATTTCTAGTGCAAGGCTTCCAGTGTCATCTGCTTCCAGTTTTTATCTACAAAACAGCTTGTTAAGCTGCATAATACTGCAAACTGGTATTTCTTATATTATTACAATAATGTACTCTCATAATTATAAACACACTGTTTTGTAGTGCAAACTGTTTACCGCACTTTTTTGTTCTTTTAGATACCTATAGTGGCTAATGAATCAGAGGTTTTGCACATTCACAGAGAATAGCTTACTTCCACATAATTAAGGTGAACTGGACTCAAAACATCTCTTAAAAAATGATCCCCTGAAAAATATATTTTAGACCGTCAGTACATACAACACACACAAGCACTGGGCACTCGTGTTTGCAGCGCTACATAGAGGAACATACATCTCACCTTTGAAAAAGCAGTCTTTGCTGTGAACCATATAGATTCTCCTCTGCTGCAGGCAAGCAGTGCGGTAAAGCTCGCAGTGGTTCTCATAAAAACGTCCGTCAGAGCCACACACGGGCACAAACGAAGTGTGGCAGCTTTCCTGGCACACACACTCGGCACGGCCCATTTCTTGCCTGACCACACACTCCCGACCCCGGCCACAGTATGCCCTCCTGCACGGACCCCCATCTGCAGAGAGATAAGGCTAAACGTTAAAAACAACATCAATTTGTGCATGATTCATCAGCCTGTGAAACAACGTCATCAATCCCTGTTTGCTTTCTTAAGACTGTCATAAAACATGCTGCAGTCATGACATCAATACCTGGAAGAATAATTCTCCATGCACTGTAAAAAAATAATCATTATATAATGGGAAAAGACTGTAAAACTGCTATGGTAAAAAAAAACGTTAATTGGTTAAGAGTAAGTTCCCTTATTACATTGTAATAGATTCAACCTTACATTTGATTTAAAAAAAATACTGTTATTTTTACAGTTTTTAAGTGGAAAAGAACCAGCCATCAGTGAAAAGCACAAATTGACAAACTGACAAAATTCCCATATTAATGGCTAAAGTCTGATTACTCCGTATTCAGCACTGTGCTACAATAATGTGAGCAACATGCTTGTAATTTTGCGAAAATTATGTATATGTGTAGTTAGTATAAAAGAAGGTATTTTTTAAATCACTAAAATAAGGCCATAAATCACATACTAAACATTTGTTCACATTATATTAGTAAATACAACTTTTTAAACTGTAAATTTAAATTTAATCTGTAAAACCTAAAATGTTGCTGCTGTATTTGTACAGTAAAGTTCTGGCAACCACAGCTGCTGTTTTTACTGTAAATTTCACAGCTTTTAAAATTTCAGATTTTACAGTGTGGGTTCCTTCGTGATTTTCATATGGGTTCTTATAATGGGGATTTTACATTTTTCAGTAAAACAAGGTCTGTGGTAAATATTGACGATACAATGTGAATTACGCACACCCAAACTGAAAATGCACATTTTGATGTGTTTGTTTATTTTAAAAAATATAAGTTTCTAATAAGTACATAAGAACTTTTGGCGTGTGAGTGTGTGCAGTTTACGTTGTAGAACAAAAAGTCCAAGTTGCATTTACCATAAACCTTATTTTGCTTATGAATTGAAAAACCCATTATAAAATGTCCATAGAAAAAATCTGAAGGCTAATTAGTCTTCTGGATTTTTAGTGATTTTCATCACTATATAGAGACACTCTTCATAAAAAAAAACAAAAAAACATTTCAAATCCCCTCAGATTTTTCTCTGAATATCCTCTTTTGATCTCACATTATGAAATGAAACAATGAGTTGCTATCTGCTCTACCATGAATGTCGTAAAACAAAGACAGAACAGCATGTTTGTAATGCAGTTTGGACACACTTTGGTTCACTCTATCCCAGATAGTATGTAAAGTTTCTCAGCCAAGTGTAAAATCTTGCTCCCTGATGATTCCCCCAGTTGGCAGTGGAAAAGCTGCTGAGGTCTGGATGCTCTTTCCAGAGCCGCAGGAGCGCAGTAGGGGAAAACTCCTGCTGGAGTCACACGCTGGATTTTGGGCTAGAGCATTGTCCATGCCAGTTTAAGTACTTTCTTCGGGCGACAGCTGGTAGGCAGGAAATGATTCCCAATTAATTCCTGACCGCTGACTGAGAGCAATGGAGTGGCATCAAACCCGGATCGCCGTCTCCTACTTTGTATACTACTACGCAGCATACTACATGGGCATTACAACGGTATGCACCATCAGACAGGAGAATGTGTTGACTGGTACAGATTACATGGCACCAAGCAAAAAAAAATATAGGCTGCTCTGCAAACTGTTGAGATCTCGTGACTCAGGTAACATCCCTACATGATTGTATGTCATATAAGAGCACTTTGGAATTTCCAGCAAAAATAACTATACTGTGATACATACCATTTTATATAAAATGTTGGTCATATTGCTGCATTTTTCAAATAATAGATGGATGCTGCTGTGACGTGCTCTGAAAACAACAGGGGTTATTTATGTTAAAAACTTATAAATACTAGCGATTTGGAACAGACAATGCAATAGTAATAAAAACACATGTGTTGCAACATTATCCAATATAGTCAAACTCAGCACTGCATCATCTTTTACATTCAGGATCTCTGAAAATCCAGTGTCGAACTGTCTTGCCAATGAATCTGGAGTAAAGCAAACAAACAGTGTTTCACTGACGTGATCTGGAGCTCTTTACTTTACTGTGTCTACACTGGACGCGAGCAGCACAACACGACTAAAGACAACAGAACCCATTATAATCAGTGACTCTACGCTGTCTACGGCACAGATTGACACAACACATCCCTGACAGTATGTCCCGTTCTATTTCTGATGTACTCCAGGTGCTCGTGCTGACATGAAAGAGAAATGGATTTGTGACACGATGCAACACAACGACGCTCGCGTCCGATCTAGATACGGTGTTAAGATTACAAGGAAGGAGGGCAGTTCAAAGACTCTCCGAGGCTCCTCGGATGATCTCTATGGTTTTGTTAATGAAGTAATGCTGTGTTTACATCTCTTTAGTATTTCCTCTCCTCCTCCTACAAGCGTGAATCAATGGGCGGGGCTAAAGAGGCAATAATGTAGAGGTGGGTGTTGATTTTCTTCTTTTGTCGCAGTATGATGTCATAATGTAACAAATTCTGAAACGCGACATTTTTTAGCTTGGCTTCAATAAACGCTGTTTTTAAAATATTGAGAAAGTTTTGAGTTTTGAAACTTACAGGATGTTTTTACTGACCTGTTTGATTTCTCAGTTCCCTTTAAAGCTTACTGGACTGTTGGACATATACAAACTTTCTTTTTTGGTAAGTTCCTTTAACTATGGTAAAAAAAAATCAATAAATAAATGTGTTGTTATGGTATGTGTAATTCAAACAATAGGTATCCAGAGTAGCAAGTTAATGGAGTTTTCTTCGCTCCATTCCCAAAATCAGCTAACAATCTCCAAAAATGCAAACGTTGGAACAGATGTTCTTTATGACCTTTGTTCATTTTACACTTCCGTGATGTTTTCTCCATTAAACAAAAAGACTGCACAAATAAACCACACATAGACAGGGTGATTGCATTAGTTTTATATGGCAGTATGCTTCATCATCAGAAAATCTAAGGAGGAGATTTGGTTTATTTGCTTTGTAAAACACTTTCTACACTTAGAATGCAAATGGGCTTCATTCATGATACTACATCTGTTGATTTCATCTTATGTGTCGATTATGATGAGTATTATTTGGTATTGAAAACTATGCTGACTGGACTCCGGTGTGACTCTTCAATTTCAACAGCTCTGATAAATATTAAATAACATGACATGCAGCCAAAGTTAACTTTATTTTAAGAAAAACACATACACAGTCATGCTTTCTCATTCTTGCACAATGACGCACGTGCTGAACTTTGATGCTCAGTGTTATGGGTTTTGAATGAGAATGGCTAACAGTAATAATAAAATCTGATCAACAGGGCACAAAATACGTGCCTCCCCTCAAGATCCCAGCCTGTGTCGTTTGGTTTACTAATTATTTAACGCACATCCATAAAGCAACGGCAGACAGGAACACCCGGCCCAACATCGTGACCTTCTTCCTCCGTGTCAAGGTTGCAGATGATTACCGGATCATTTGTATTCTCTGAGCATTGAAGATTAGGTGCTTAGCTGAGCTCTGCTTCTGTGAAAATGATTTGTTCTTCTTGAGACGCATGCTGTCCGACCATCTCTCGCCTTTCCCAGCTCTTTCTCTGCTCCAAGTTGAACAATCTGGTCCAAAACACAAATGCTCTTTTTACAGCACTATTAGCAATTCTGCAGAGACGTCGTCCTCTTTGCAATCATGGCATGCGCTCACTGACAATTCCCAACTGCACTCCGCACTGATTTACTTAAGGAGCTAAAGAGTTGATTTGTAATCCATTCAGTGTGGGCAGCGAGACAATGGTGATACATGATTCTTAAAGGTTCCACCGAAAGCTCTCAAACTCTGCCAAGCTGCTCAGTAGACGAGCTAATGCGTTTGTTTATCACGACCATTCTTGGGACTGTTAAGAAGCTGCAAGCCACTGCTGGTCCGTCAGCAATCGCTCCAGGCCTGGAGGACAGATGCTCCAACATTTCATAGGAATCACCCGGGGAATCGCAGAGGGAATGTTTGCAAGTATTGTTGCTCTGGATCTGGTCCCATTGTCATCAAGTAAATGTGACTAATTGATTCCTTTCACGAGGAGTCGCGCAGACAAGAGCGACAGTGGTGTAATCCCTGAAAGCTCACATCATATGAACAACTTCCTCTCTGACATTAGCCACAGACCACCCTCCAACCTCCAGAGCACATGCATTGTAAAGTTCTGCCAGAAAGAATTCGGCAGTTTCTCAAACGATGAAATGCTTTGATTTGAATACTCAAGGTGTTTTTTGTTTTTTGGGGTGAATAAGTATGGAAGTCCATATGGAAGCGCCAGGTAAGAAAAAAATGTATTCCTGAAAAAGTCAAAATTATGACATACTAAAGTCATAATTACGAGATAAAAAGTTGAAATTATGGGTTACACTTTACTTGAAGGGGTGTGCATAAGACTGACATGACACCTTCATAATAATGACATGACACCAACATAATCATGACATGACATATGTCATGAATATGAAGGGTTTTTATGCATGTTTATGACAACTGTCATTAAGTGTCATTCGCTCAGTTATGTAATTTTTAATGCAAAGATGACATTGTTTGAGATGTCTTTGTTATGGGTTATGGTTAGGGGTAAGGGTAGGGGTAAGGTTAGGTTAGGGTTAGGTCAAATAATGTCATATTTGCATTAAAAATGACATAACTGAGCGAATGACACTTAATGACAGTTGTCATAAACATGCATACAACCTCCTTCATATTCATGACATGTGTCATGTCATAATTATGAAGGTGTCATGTCAGTCTTATGCACACCCCTTCAAGTAAAGTGTTACCAAATTATGACTTACTAATTTAACGTGCAACTCAGCATGTTACATTCATATTCTGGGCTATTTTCTGCTTGTCTGTAAATGGTATATGCTTTATTAATAAGGTGTGTATTGAACTTGGTCCCTCAAACTGCCAAATTAACTCGTTTCAAAATGTCCCGTTTATCATTATAGACCACTATCCTGTGACCAATGTGTTTATAAAGTCATTAAGTCAATTTTGACTTGTAAAGTCATAATTTCGACTTTTTATCTCATAATTTTGACTTTTGATTGTCATAATTTTCAACTTTTTAAGTCATAATTTTGAACAATATTTGCCTTCATATTTCATGTATCGTTTCTGCAAAGATATTTAACAAGTGAATTTGTTTTACATTTACAGCAGGTTGAGTACTTCGAAAGAATACAAATTGTTATCATGAATTGGTCAAATGTTCAGATATATTTTTTATTTTTTTTGCATGCAACAGTTACAAATTGTCATGAGAGTGTGCCTGTTCATCTATCAGGTCTTCAAACAGACAGACAGATTTATAATGTCTTGATGCTTTGAGTCTTTTGTTACTTCACAATGTGAAGCTATTTTTACGCTGCCATTAGACTCATCATTCATGTGTCATGAATAATCTGATCTTTCACTGACAACCGTGACGCACGAACTTCCTCGCCGATCAGAGAACATAATGAAATAAAAAACAACAGAAGATACAGTAAGAGGCATTTCTGAGAGCCGATGCCATTCATACTTCCAACAAGTCTGTTCTACTAAATGTCCCGGATAAAATATGACTTCCAAATGAAGCAAGGTCACAGTGAATGTCAGAAAGAGTGATGAGCTACAAACTCAAGGGCCGTGACTGAGGCGGAGTGTGTGTGTGTGTGTGTGTGTTTGACAGGTTGAGTATTCTAAAGATTTCAGATGAAAACACACAAACTCAAAGCCAGCTCCATCAACCCAATACCCAATACTGCAGCACTTAACTTACTGGGTGGCCTGATAACACTTTATTGATCTTCAGATTGCCGCTCCATCTGTTAGCGGCATGCGGCTGGTATGTAGTACGGTTTACTGCAGCTGTGTGTCATGGATCGCAGGTGTGGAGGAATGAATCAAGGACAAACACTCTGAAGAGAGCAGTTACTTTGGTAAAAGACTAGTTGTGGTACACAGCTGAGGTGACCAGCCTATTTGTCAAGCTACAAAATTTCCTAGATTACAGATAGCTCACATATTTAACATCAGTATGACTCTCATAGCTTGCTTTTCCTGAAGCGTATAGCTCTGGTTCAAAACTAGTTTTTCTTCAAACATTAATATCACAAGTGTATTGACTTTTATTTTTTACTTATTTTATCTATCTATCTATCTATCTATCTATCTATCTATCTATCTATCTATCTATCTATCTATCTATCTATCTATCTATCTATCTATCTACAGCAAGTTAAAGCATTGCATGTATCCTTCACAAATAAAGCAATCCAGGAATGCACTCTGGAAAAATCAAGTCGAGAAAAAAGTTTATAATAAATCGATTGCATTTGAAACTGAAAGTATCTAAAAACGACAAATGCGCTATTTTTAGAGAGATGCAAAACTTATGTCAGTGCTGTTCTTGTGTTTAAAAACAACAAAACCGAGTGCAAGCAATGAACGGAACGGGTCTCAGGATGTGCTTTTAACTCTTTCCCTGCCATTGGTGAAATTTTCCGGCTTTCCGTGCTTTAACTGTTATTCGGTAGGGGGCGATATTATGCATTTTCTGAAAAAATACAGAATGTCTATCAAAACACAGGTGAAGAAGAAGCAGAAACAAGCGATCGTGTATGCAAGCAGATGCATATGTAAAATATCGTTTTACTATACTATACTATAGTTAACTAAAACTAAAACCATAAAAAAAATTATACATATTTGTTACTTATAAAATAAACGTTGACCAAAATCAAATAAATAAAAAATAATAATAGATAACAAAATAAAAAAAGGTTCTATTTCAGTTAGTTAGCAAGGCAACTTTTCTCATTTTTAATTAAGTTTAACTTGTAAGTATAGTTTAGTATAACTAAAACTGAAATTTAAACAAACAAATAAATAAATGAAAACCATAGATGCATTAAAAAGACTACTAAAATGACAAAAAAACTTTAAAATTAAAATAAATATCTATATATATATAAAGAACAATTATTCAAAAAATTAATCAAAGCTATACAAATAATACTAAAATAATAGCAGTGAGAAAATATATCAAAAATAAATGATGAAGACACAAAAGTTTCTAAGAGGTTTAATGACATCTTCATATAACAAAAAGCTTGAAATATATTTTAATAAAAATCAACCCCAAGGACACAACAGTTGATGAATCATCCATATATTTTATTTGCTTCACTCCTATTTTATTGAAGCACAAAACGTCTTTGGTCCTTATTATATGTGCTCAAGCACAAACTATATGCTGGATATTATATTTGACAAACAGTACAGATTTAATAATTCACTCTGCTCTGTAGACGTTTGATTATATTTTCTGCATGGTTATTTATGTGTCCTTGTAAACCGGCTGGTGGCTTAATATCAATTCATGTGCAGCAGCGCTGACACAGCAGCTCCTCTATCTAGCAGCAGACCACCGTCCCATGCAGCCCGAGACCAAGGGCATCTTCCTGTAGCACCTCTGACCCGGCATGAGCTCGTGATGATGCGTTTCCTTTCTGTAATATTAATATCATACTGCAGATTTAAAGGCTGCAGGCCAGCTGCAGAGACAAGATAATCACTATAGTCAAATTAGACTGAATAATGATTTGCCGACTATTAATCATGTCGATATGAGTCATTTATCAATATCAAGTAGGAATTTAACCAAAGGAACCTCAGAGATTTTTCTCAAATCAGTTAATTCACTAAAACATTCAGAAGCGCCACACAGCATCATGTTTGCAAATGCTAAACGCCTCTTATTTTCAGTGACTGATTCAGGAAAACTGATTTACCACAAATCATAGTAAGAAATAATTGCAGTTGTTTACCTTACTGTAGTACTTGCTCGAACTCACTAATATTAGTATGTCACACTAATTTAGTAAACAAGAATAAATTCTAGCAATTTTATCCTCAAAAACAAGAAAAGGGTTTAGCAACACCAGGGGCCTGTTTCATAAAACAAGTTTACCAAATAAGCCAGGTTTATTTCAGTTAGTCTGATTTATTGTCAGTTGATTTGGCTCAAAATAAGTCAGACTAACTGAAAGAAGCCTGGCTTATTTGGTAAACTTGTTTTAAATATCACAAGTGTATTGACTTTTATTTTTTACTTATTTTATCTATCTATCTATCTATCTATCTATCTATCTATCTATCTATCTATCTATTTTTAAATATTTATTCTTAAAACAAGAACTAGTGATTTGCCAGTGAAGTAAGAACACAAACTTAAAATATAAATCTGTTTTAAGGCTGCTCAGGAAAACATGATAAGCTTTCTTAAAACGTGTAGGCCTACAGCAAGTTAAAGCATTGCATGTATCCTTCACAAATAAAGCAATCCAGGAATGCACTCTGGAAAAATCAAGTCGAGAAAAAAGTTTATAATAAATCGATTGCATTTGAAACTGAAAGTATCTAAAAACGACAAATGCGCTATTTTTAGAGAGATGCAAAACTTATGTCAGTGCTGTTCTTGTGTTTAAAAACAACAAAACCGAGTGCAAGCAATGAACGGAACGGGTCTCAGGATGTGCTTTTAACTCTTTCCCTGCCATTGGTGAAATTTTCCGGCTTTCCGTGCTTTAACTGTTATTCGGTAGGGGGCGATATTATGCATTTTCTGAAAAAATACAGAATGTCTATCAAAACACAGGTGAAGAAGAAGCAGAAACAAGCGATCGTGTATGCAAGCAGATGCATATGTAAAATATCGTTTTACTATACTATACTATAGTTAACTAAAACTAAAACCATAAAAAAAATTATACATATTTGTTACTTATAAAATAAACGTTGACCAAAATCAAATAAATCAAAAATAATAATAGATAACAAAATAAAAAAAGGTTCTATTTCAGTTAGTTAGCAAGGCAACTTTTCTCATTTTTAATTAAGTTTAACTTGTAAGTATAGTTTAGTATAACTAAAACTGAAATTTAAACAAACAAATAAATAAATGAAAACCATAGATGCATTAAAAAGACTACTAAAATGACAAAAAAACTTTAAAATTAAAATAAATATCTATATATATATAAAGAACAATTATTCAAAAAATTAATCAAAGCTATACAAATAATACTAAAATAATAGCAGTGAGAAAATATATCAAAAATAAATGATGAAGACACAAAAGTTTCTAAGAGGTTTAATGACATCTTCATATAACAAAAAGCTTGAAATATATTTTAATAAAAATCAACCCCAAGGACACAACAGTTGATGAATCATCCATATATTTTATTTGCTTCACTCCTATTTTATTGAAGCACAAAACGTCTTTGGTCCTTATTATATGTGCTCAAGCACAAACTATATGCTGGATATTATATTTGACAAACAGTACAGATTTAATAATTCACTCTGCTCTGTAGACGTTTGATTATATTTTCTGCATGGTTATTTATGTGTCCTTGTAAACCGGCTGGTGGCTTAATATCAATTCATGTGCAGCAGCGCTGACACAGCAGCTCCTCTATCTAGCAGCAGACCACCGTCCCATGCAGCCCGAGACCAAGGGCATCTTCCTGTAGCACCTCTGACCCGGCATGAGCTCGTGATGATGCGTTTCCTTTCTGTAATATTAATATCATACTGCAGATTTAAAGGCTGCAGGCCAGCTGCAGAGACAAGATAATCACTATAGTCAAATTAGACTGAATAATGATTTGCCGACTATTAATCATGTCGATATGAGTCATTTATCAATATCAAGTAGGAATTTAACCAAAGGAACCTCAGAGATTTTTCTCAAATCAGTTAATTCACTAAAACATTCAGAAGCGCCACACAGCATCATGTTTGCAAATGCTAAACGCCTCTTATTTTCAGTGACTGATTCAGGAAAACTGATTTACCACAAATCATAGTAAGAAATAATTGCAGTTGTTTACCTTACTGTAGTACTTGCTCGAACTCACTAATATTAGTATGTCACACTAATTTAGTAAACAAGAATAAATTCTAGCAATTTTATCCTCAAAAACAAGAAAAGGGTTTAGCAACACCAGGGGCCTGTTTCATAAAACAAGTTTACCAAATAAGCCAGGTTTATTTCAGTTAGTCTGATTTATTGTCAGTTGATTTGGCTCAAAATAAGTCAGACTAACTGAAAGGAGCCTGGCTTATTTGGTAAACTTGTTTTATGAAACAGGCCCCAGTTGTGTTATTCGTTACTGTAATTTAACAAACAGTACGTACAAACATATGAAGTACAGCATGTATAGCTAATTACCAGGTTTAAAACTTCTATTCAACAGAAGGCAGACAGGCCTAAATTCCTGCTTTTAGTTATTGGGAATCCAATTGTCTAATTGTCTATAAAATCTATTACGTCCTGAAAGAGAAATAAGTTTGTTTTAAAGAGTATTTTGGCTTGACACCAGAGTGCTGATGTGCAGAACACATACTGGATTGCTTTACTCACTGCAGAAATGATTGTGGATTTCATTAATTTTTTTTAGTACATAACAAAATATGATGCATATTTTAAAATGTGTGTGTGTGTGTGTGTGTGAGAGAGAGAGAGAGAGAGAGAGAGAGAGAGTGTGTGTGTGTGTGTGTGTGTGTACAATATTTTTGTCAAGTCAAATATTGAATCAAATTGAACCAAACCTACTAAATACAATTTGAGAAAAAAATATATTAGAATAGAATATTATTAATAATATTTGCCTGTGACAAATTTGCCTGTGAGTATTAAGTTTTAGTTTTTTTTGGTAGTCGTCACATGGCTTTGCTGCTCATTTGCATTAAGTTGAGCTCCACTTAATGCTGTTTGTCGCTCAAGTCACCAAAAATCGTCAGTTATGATCAAAAATAAATGATGTCCTGTCACTGTAAATCACTGTCAGTGTGGATGGCATTACTGAATAGCAATTCATCAGTCAGTTTAGGGTTAGGGTTAGTTTTCGGTGTCAAAATTATACATATAAGAATTAACGAACTGCTACTTTTTCACAATGCTTAGAACAACTTGCAGACTACTATAAATATTGTTAGGCAATAATAAAAAAATGTATATAAAGTAAGCATGTGATTTTTTTTTTTCAATTTAATTAACTTCTACTATAATCAAATTAATAAGTGTGATCATCCTTTGCTTTTGAAACACCTCTCTCCTACAATCTCTGAACACAATTCCTAAGGTCATTTCAACCGAAGGAGACACGGCTCCTCTATGGATTTCAGCTTTAGTCTCAGTTGATGCAAGACAGACTCAATGATCATTTAAAAAATCTGATTGGTTTATTGATATACATAAAAAAGGAATGTTTGGAAATCTAAAATGTATATTTCAAACTGGCATAAGGATATACATAACTATATAAAATACATTTATTATGGCTCTCAATTTAACACGTTAATTTGGTCCGATTAATGATGGAAAAAATATTATTAATGTTTAACTATAATTATTGTTTTACATTCTAGACACAATATTGTCAGTATCGTCTGTTTTGGTCAATTTCACAAATGAAAATAGTTTAAATCAAAGCCACAGCAGAACCTTTCCGAGTCTCTCAGCAAAACAGCAGTGATTCGTTACTGAATGAATCCACAGGCTTTAACGAATCAATTGAGTCAATGATTCAGTGACTCATAAAGACAGTCGCCTGCTTTGCTTCTGAGTGAATCAGCTGTTTGAATTAATCACTTGAATGAATGATTCACTCATTAAGAGAGTAACCTGCCACCACCTTGCTTTTAGTTTCACATTTAGAGTATTATTTTATTTATCTATTTTAAAAATATATATTTTTTCTTATTCGAAACATTAATGCCCATTTAAAAACTATTAATCTTAGTTAATCGGTCTGCGGCCACATGTCTCTGGCTGAATCACATTCGTGCCGATATGCAGCTGTATCTCACGTCTACGAGTGTGATATTGCTTATATAATAATAACAATAGTTATTATTATTATTATTATTTTCAATCAAACTGTGCAAATAGAAGGTCATGTGAGAAGCACAAGGCTGAGACCAGGCATAAAGAAAAAAAAAGAAAAGAAAAAAACAACATTTCTGTTGATGTGTTTAGAATGGCAGTAAAAGCTGGCATCAGCACTGTTAATGTTATTAAAGCCATTATTTTCACATATGTTAATGAGGCGTGCTCCACATACTGTCCACACACATTAATGTTGTCGCAGTCCCTCTTAAATGACATTTCCCCAAGCGCTTAAGAGAGGACTCACAATAATTAATAACAGTGGACAGCAGTTCATAGGTACCGTGATCCCTAGCATATCTGTTCTCATTATTCTCTGTGCTCCTGTAATAATTATGTTACAGAATTCCTCTAGTGATAGCGTTTCCATTCCTGCACCGTTACTAAAAATACATGGAGACGGAGTACAGAAGCCCAGAAGGTACGACAGCTTCCTATAATTATAACTCTAAATAAATAACCTCCGCAGACAGTGAACAGATTTTGAGGGGTGGCTCATCTCGGGATAGCAGAGAGTTGGAGAGAATGTAATTGATTTTCATTATATTAATCACAGAATCGTTATAAGACGATATAGATAAAGGACGACACTATGTGCAGTGCTTTGTACTGTAAGCCCATGCACTTGATGAGAAATGCTTTTCCCGTGTGCGGCAGGTCACGCGTGTGAAGGACCGGGCCACCACCTTGCTTTTAGTTTCACATTTAGAGTATTATTTTATTTATCTATTTTAAAAATATATATTTTTTCTTATTCGAAACATTAATGCCCATTTAAAAACTATTAATCTTAGTTAATCGGTCTGCGGCCACATGTCTCTGGCTGAATCACATTCGTGCCGATATGCAGCTGTATCTCACGTCTACGAGTGTGATATTGCTTATATAATAATAACAATAGTTATTATTATTATTATTATTTTCAATCAAACTGTGCAAATAGAAGGTCATGTGAGAAGCACAAGGCTGAGACCAGGCATAAAGAAAAAAAAAGAAAAGAAAAAAACAACATTTCTGTTGATGTGTTTAGAATGGCAGTAAAAGCTGGCATCAGCACTGTTAATGTTATTAAAGCCATTATTTTCACATATGTTAATGAGGCGTGCTCCACATACTGTCCACACACATTAATGTTGTCGCAGTCCCTCTTAAATGACATTTCCCCAAGCGCTTAAGAGAGGACTCACAATAATTAATAACAGCGGACAGCAGTTCATAGGTACCGTGATCCCTAGCATATCTGTTCTCATTATTCTCTGTGCTCCTGTAATAATTATGTTACAGAATTCCTCTAGTGATAGCGTTTCCATTCCTGCACCGTTACTAAAAATACATGGAGACGGAGTACAGAAGCCCAGAAGGTACGACAGCTTCCTATAATTATAACTCTAAATAAATAACCTCCGCAGACAGTGAACAGATTTTGAGGGGTGGCTCATCTCGGGATAGCAGAGAGTTGGAGAGAATGTAATTGATTTTCATTATATTAATCACAGAATCGTTATAAGACGATATAGATAAAGGACGACACTATGTGCAGTGCTTTGTACTGTAAGCCCATGCACTTGA